AAAACACATATCATCGGGTGTACACACCCCGCTGTAAAGCTCAAAAGTGTTTGTGAAAACCTTTTGCTGAGTGTGGAAAGGGATGAATGAGGATACCTCTGCCTTTCCTGGATCACTAGACACTAGACAAGCCCACCAATCTCAGATTGGAAGGTTTAATAAAGTGATAGTGGAGTGTATCAAAAGATAACTGTGGCTTAACAGGTGGACAAAGGGTTTAACCCAGTTTTATAAGGGTCTAAAGGTTGATTTGAGAGTGAGAGAGTGAGTCTAGCTGATATTTCAATGGTAAGGGGATGGTATGTAATGGTATGTAAGGGTTTGTAAGGGTAGGGGGTATGAAATAGGTGGATACTAAACTGAGGGGAAAACAACTGAGAGGAGAGCCTCTTAAATACACAAAGGTGAGGGATTTTAGCTTCAGGGGAACAAGAGAATGAGATATTTTAGCTGGCCAGAGCTTTACAATGAGGGGATTTAGCTAGTCAGAACATGTACATGAGGTATTTTGGCTGGTTGAGCAACCTACATGATGTCATAAGAGTTATTTTAGCTGGAACTAGAAGTCTACATGAGGGTTTTATGCTGGTGAAGCATTTTACATGAGGTGATGTACTAGTCTGCAAGCTAAGGTGAGGTGATGAATATTACATGAGTGGTGTGAGATAGTCTGACAGCTGCAAGGAAGATTAACAAGTGACAGGACAACAGGACCAGCCTAGCAGCTACATATAGCAAGTGTCAGAAGATAGTGGAGTGGTGTGTATACATGTACTATAATGGTGTGAGAGTGTATGCAGTTGTCCTGCAATGTACATATGTATAGTGTGAGTTATGTAATTTGTTGGTGTTGTTGAGTGTTGAAGTGTTGACATGGTGGTGAGTTGTGTAATTGAGTGTGGTGATGGTCCAGAGAGTGTAGCTTCCAATCCAGTTGAGTTCCAGTGACGCCTCCAGTGGTGACCAAGGGTGAAATTGACCGTAGAATCCAGTTCTTGAGCCATATTGGGTGATTTGTGAGTGTATATATGAGAAAAAAGGTGTAAAAAGTATGTAATTTGTAATAAAAGAAAAAACTAAAATTTTTAAATGGGCCAGATGGCTACCCTTAAGGTATACCACACCGCACCCCGGCTCCCTTATACACATCCGTCATCGGCCTTACACACCCACACCGGCCTTACACATCATCAGCCTTACACATCACTTACCACATCCGGTCGGCCTTACACATCATCAACACCCGCACACCGGCTCCCTCACCGGTGTCATACACAACCAACCCACCGGTGCCACTGACATCCCCACCGGACCAAACCAAACCACACCTATCAACTTAGGCCGTATCTTTATCTCATCGTTTTTTTTCCTCACTTGGTTTATCAAGTTTTGCTGTCACTATTTGTTTCATTTTTTCGTTTATGGTGCCACATCCAAATGTAAATAGACACGTTAAGAACTCATGTTTGTTGGTTTTTACCATTTGCAATAATCAAACTGAAAGATTAAAACAACATGATGGTGGAGAGTAGTACATGAAGACACATTGAAAAGATCAATTGAGGAAATTGTAGCAAAAAAAAGTGAAACGGTAGACATGACAAATGAGAGGTGGAAAACATGAGAGAATGAGAAATACATAACCCAGAGAGATCAATCACAGGCATCTTGAGCATCATCAACGTCCTCCCAATCACTTTGGGCTGGTGCTCCTGCAGAGTTGGCAGCCTCACCGCTCGTAACTTCTTTGCCATCATCCACCTGGATACCCACGACTGCCTCCTCTTCTACATTATCAACCACCGGCTCCTCCTTGTTCTTCTTTGGTTGCCAACTAGTCTGATTGGTTGCCACGCGTTGGACTAAATTGTTCCAATCCAAGTAAATGTCACGAAGTAGTTCAGGCCTACAACGAGCACACATCCACGTAATTGTACCAGTCCATTCTTGTATCAAGACGCCATGATCAAACAAACGAGTCTGTAGTTCCTTATTGATGATCCGTAGTTTTTCTCGACGATCGTAGTTTCCCAACTCCATGCGATCAATGTGATCTTCCGGTGGTTCCATATTCATGTCTAATGCCATTACTCCTACCTTTCCCGAATGAATAACATGTCATCAGATACAGATAAAGAGAATATACAATTGATGGACATGATGAAAATGAACTTACGCGCTCGGATGTATCTGATATAGCCGGATATAAGTTCATAGGTACTTATTGCCCATGTCATTGTCCGTGCAGTCTCCTGAGTAAGTAAGTCCAGCTCTTCTTCTACCCTCTGCAGCACAAGGATGCAGGCAATACCAGATCGGACATCCGGATCGATTTCCCATGGTGCTTTGGAGTGATAGTATATCCCATCATTCCAGAACTTGTGATCAATAGCCATGCTCTCAAAGGTTTCGTAAGTGAGAGGGTGCTCATCGGTGTCGGCCACTTGTTGTCTAGGGAATTTGGCCACGTATTGCGCAAATTGGGTGTTAAAGGTTGCAATGAGTTTGTTTATTGGGCCCCGGCGCTTCTGTATAGCCTTCTGAATCTTCTCGCTTAACTTGGTTCCTAATCGACGTCCGATCGTTCTTGAGTCGGTGAGGGGCTGTTTTTCCGCCCAAAGCTCTACTGCTTGGACAAACAGTTCCGATTTAGCTTCCCAAAGAAGCAGCAAAAGTTTTTGTTCCTCTAGAAACAAGTGGTTGATAAGCACTAGATATGCTAGACCAAACGAACCAAGTAGAAAATCTAACCTTTGGCTTCGTCAGGCTCGGGTTGATGATCTCGGCCTAAGCTTTTGGCAGCCTTTCTTAGTTCCTCAGCAGTTGACTCTAATTCATCCAGAAGCTCGTGAGCCTCCTGCTTGCTGGCTAGGTATGTAGAAGGAGTGTTGCGCAGCCGAGTCCTGGAGATAATAGAAAGGAAGTCGGCATATGTATGTAATCCAAAGTAATTTGAAAGGATATACTTACCTCAAGGCCTCAAGTGCGGCCTCTTGCTTATACACTTCAACCAACTTATCCCGATTTTCTTCTTGCTCCTCAGTATGTGTTTCCTTGAATTTTCGTTGTTCTTCCCATTGGGCCTTGAAAAAACGCTTTGTAAAATTTCGACCGGTTGTGGAGAAAGGATTGGGTTTATCTAAAACCTCACGAAGGGCAGCCTTGGTCTCAACCCTCCGTCGAGCTGCTGCAACAAACTTCCTTTTGAGCCATGTGGCTGGGATAAAACAATCAACACCCGCTTCACGTATAGAACAAAGCGATTGGAAAGATGTAGAACAAAGGGAGATTGAATTGAAGATACTTACAAAGATTCTTGATACCCCTTGTATTGTGGTATTTTAATCGGTGAGAGATTGTGGCGAGCCGATGATTTCGTGTGGCATATCTTAACGGGCTGACTAAAGGTGACAGATAAGACCACATGCGTTCGAGCCCCTCCCCATCCGATAGCCCCCAACCTTTGTTAAAACGAGGATTATAATCCAGCTGACATGTCCACGAGTGAACATAGGCATGGAAAAGGAGGTCGCAAATTGAAGACAATCTCGTTGGTCACTGACTAAGCCGCGCTGATGATTGGAACAAGTCGTAGTCAGAATGGCGCCGGAGAATGATGACTACAATCTAAGGCACTCACCAAAGCCGTGTACTTGTCAAGAGAGCAACCTATGTTGTATAGGATGCCAACATGTCGATGCGGGGCCTCATTATTGAGAATCTTGTTTAGGAGAGCCATCGGAAAACAACGCTGTTCACCCGATTTATTGATGTTTGCCATGTATATTGCAGCATCGTGGCGACAGCAACATCCCATAAGGCCGGTGTCGTCGCAACCTTTCCACGATGACTCATTACGCTTGCCGTCAGCTGCCTTGTGAGCTTCTGTACATTGGTCTCTCTTGGGTGGGGAGAACGATAGGGAAAAAAAAGTGATCCACCAGTATTGTACGTAGCAAATAGAGGTTCTGACCTTGTCTTTTGGCTTCTGGCGTAACTCTATATCGATGATCTTGGCTTTCATCGCATCAACCTCCTGCTGGCTGACAAATATGTTTGGAGTTTGGATTCGATCGTAATCGCGGCTCGCCTTAGAATGGTGGCGATGCTGGAAGTTGCCATCAAGGCAAATCATCAGCTTATCTTGACTCATCCAAGGGTATTCGTTCAGGTTGGGTGGACTTGGACCGAAGCACGCAGGACAGCTCCGGGCAGCCAACACCGCCTGCTCTTCTAACCGCAATACGTCACCAACCACGGCTTCGGTCCGATCCACCAGCTCCCTGTATAGATCAACAGCAGCCGCAAAAGGTTTGCGCAACTCGCGGGCCTCCAAAATAATGAAATGTTAGCTTCTGACCGGCTCAATGCAGATCGGTCACATCAATTTATAACACTCACATGCTTTCCGTTTCTTACTGTCAACCAATTCGATCGAGGTTCCAGATATTGGTTCAAGGCGGTGGTAAATGGCATTGCTCCGATGTGGCAATTGTGCAGGATCAGTAGCGGGATTGAAAAGGCGGTGACCGGCCTGATAGGTGATCCAGGAAGATAGCCCATCTGGACAAGTCGTACCACGTCAGGTGTGCACTAGCAGAACTTCAACCTCTCCCGTCGTTGGCCTGTTTTTGAGAAGTCAAGCAGTTGAGTCCTTAACTGCTGTCTTGGTTGGGTGTCTTAGCGTACTTACCATAGATATCGACTAGATCGATGGGCCTTCTGGCTGATGAGATACAGCTGCAGGAGGTATAATTGCTGTAAGTATTCTCTGCAGTCCAATTCTTGGTGACCGATTTTTGTTGGAGGTATACCGGATGTAAGTCCTTCACGAGGTTTTTCCAGTTGAACCAGATAGCTTCTTGCCGGAGTCGTTCCAGGTTTGATTCAATTGCGAGATCGATCTCGTCGGGTTCCACAATTTCAATAGGTACCCAACCGTTGTGGTAAGACCAATCAAACCCATAAAGCCTTAAAAGACATATGTAAAATATTAAAATAGTAAATATAAACTCAAGAAATCAGGTAATAATATCAAATAGACATGCTAAAGCCTATCATTCTCAAATCTTAGTCATTCTCCCTTGATAATTTATTTCATAAATAATTACACTTCACAGACTAGAGGTATAAAACATACAAGGAAGATTAAAAGGTATATATATAATTACAAAACAGATTTTACAACATAACAAGAATGGTCAACAAGGAATTAGAAATAATATAATGTTATAAAGCTAAAAACCATTCAGGAGGAAACAGAATAATATAATAACCAATCATAAAATCATCCAGCAGATCATAATAATTAATTAAGTAGATCATTAATAATTAATTACACAGCCATTTATTAAATACACAGCCACTCATGATTAATTTCACAACATGAAGATCATTAATCACACAGATGACATCATTGATAAACATAGCAGCAGAATATTGATTTCACAACAGTACATCATTAATTCCACAGCTGCACATCATTAATTTCACAGCTGTAAATCATTAATTTCATAGCATGACATCATCATGACATCATTAAATTAGCAGTATGAGGTCATTACCCAGTCAGACCAATCATTCTCATCAGTGAAGCTGTTGACCATCCCACCAAAGATTTTGTCTATAAATAGAGGACCTTTCTGGTCCATGTTTCACTTCCTTCCTCCCCATGTCTGCATCAGAGAAATAAGTAGAGATCTTATTTAGCATTCATCAACCCCCCTTCCATGCTAGCTACAGAATAGTAATTAGAGATATTACTTAGCATTCATCAGCCCTTATATATCAGATTCAGAAAAGTAATAAGAGATATTACTAAAACCCATACTCCTCACCCCCTTATTGAACCCTGTTAAATAATAAAGAAATTATTTAACTCACCTCCAGCTCTCAACAGAATATATTGAAAAAATAAAGACTCACTTTATTAAAAACCCAGAATTGAACCAGAGAATCCAGAAAGAATAGAACAAACCAGAATAAACCAGAAACCCTCAGATATCTCCTAACTCCAGAAGCTCTTGACCATCCATTCCATCCACCCTTATAAACAACTCAACATCCTCAACAGGTAGTATCTTCACTAAGATAATTTTTAGAAATCTACCACACTATTATTTTTCTTAGTGCAACTCTCTCACAAGCTAGACAAGGAGGGCAGTCTCACCAACACCCATTTATTATTATTACTATTTAATAGTTTTATTAATATTTATCCCCTCCAAGCTCTTCACTCATTAGCTGAGCAGTTCCACACCGTCGTCAGAGTCAGAATCTTCTTCAGCGTCTTCATTTCCTTCTCGATTTGTTTCATCTTCATAATATCCGTCCGGCGCCATTAGCTCTTCTGCCAAGCGAGTATCAGTGGCCAGAGCCTGGTCCATATGTGCCATGACGGTGTGAAGACCTTGAACTCTTTCCAGCGCTTCACTATCACGAATGTGGTTGACCTCCCTTCGCACGCGAATCTTTCGAGGAACCGTAACTTGTTTTTTCGTCCTTGTTTTGGCCATGATGAAGACAAGGATATAAGATATGCTGCAAAGGATATGTTGGAAGATATCAGTTGATTTGATTTTATCAATGTATAAATCTAGTGTTTTAACTCACAATCATTCCTTGGATGTTCATTCGACCTCCGGCCAAAAAAAGGGATGCACCTGAGGACCGGATGATCAGATTATTGTTGGAGAACTGACATAAGTGTTCAGAGTTAGAAATAAAACTGGACCCCTAACCCTTTGACCCGTAAACAAACTCAATAATAACTAACACCTCCCCCTAAAGTCCAAAGTGCAAAACCGCTCACCACCAGAAGCACAAAAAATATACTGTATCAACTAACTTACCATCCAGTACATTTGAGAAGTATTGGTTATTGATTGTTGAGGAGTTGATTTAAAATTGCAGCTGTATGTTTCTAAAACAGTCATCCAACTACATGAGTTTGGATTGAGTCTGTCCAAATCATGGAATGATGGTTAATCATGTTGGTTAATCATTTTTTAATGACCATGATAACATGAATCCATGCTTTGGAATGACTCATTAAAGTTGTTTCATTCCAAAGTTATGTGTGGCCATTCTAAATAATACCCACTAAGTTATCAATCACCCAACATAACTTTGGTTATGTTGGGTGAGTTGATAAATTAGTGGGTAATTTTACAAGTGGCCACACATAACTATAGGATGAACCAACTTTAATGATTTATTCCAGATTTATTCCATTCTTAATCATCACTCAATTCTTTGAATTGAATCTAATATTAATAAGTCAGGCATTATTCCATGCTCATGAAGCAACCATGATTTTAATTGTTGGGGGATCAATTTATGGCCAGTAATCCAGATTCAAGTGACTTTTCCCACTTCTCAATTTGAAGACTCTATCACTTGAATGAAAAAGCGTGGGCTTCAATCATCAGCCAGCCAGTATGTTTTTTAGGTTGTGGGTGGGTCTAGATATTAGATGTTTTGATTGTGTCACATCCATTGTTGGCTTAGTGTTGCTGTCGGGTATGCGGCTTTAAGATGTGCTTGGGTTTGCCAAGGCCGCAAGGCTTTAATTTTAATGTTTCGGCTTCGGAGTTTCCATGGATCATTGCCACAAATGTAGGTTTATAGTTGTATATGTGTAGGTTTTTAGTTGTATATGGTAAGTGAGGGCTATATGGGGCAGCAGCAAGTATGGTGAGGATATACACCCCGATGATTGGACACCGGCCAATGATCGGACACCGGTTGCTGGATGAAGAAGGATAACAATTATGGTGACTAGGAGTATATAAAGGGACACATTGCCCCTCTTTGTTACCTACCCCAACAATCCCTCTTCTCATTCCCCCTGGCCAATCGGCCCACTAAGACCTTCCTGCATCACGGTGTCCTGCATGGCCAGAATGAAAGAATCGTCACCGGGCGAGGGCCGCCGGCGGACACAAGCGGTCCACCCCCGGAGCTACCTGGATGACTTGCGTGCACGGGCTCTAATTAGTCGGGCGGGCCAAGCGCTTGAGCTAAAGGAAGACGGGCCTGTATCGCCGCCCGGCTTCTCCATTAGCTCATCCAGGTTTATCTCCAGACCTTGACCATCCACCTCCAGACCTCAACCATCCACCTCCAGACCTCAACCATCCACCTCCAGACCTCAACCATCCACCTCCAGACCCCGGTCGACACAGTCAAATAACAATCAATCACCTGCTCTGTCTAAAAACTCTAACTCAGCTCTTTCTGAATCTTCTCGGAAGACCGTCAAACAAACAAATCAACCACCAAAGGGCTTTGCAAGCTCCAAAACAAACTCAACTAGTGCTCCAGATTCATCTTCTAACCGATCCCCACTGACCATAACTGAGCTGACATGTAGGTAGTTGTTTGACATGATGATACAGTATTAGATCTATCCTGACCTTCCATGACTTTCCATTCCATCACAGTTCCGGACTCGCCACCACCCAAGATGTTACCTCCGCCCACGTTCAGCTTCCGCACCTCAAACATGATCAACGAACCTGAGTATTCCGGAGGGGCGACTGATTTCACGGAGGAATCTCAGTATTCCGGAGGCGCCACCAATTTCATGCCTGCTGTACATCCAGGCCAAGAGCAGTATCTAGACCTCAACTACCCGAATGAACATCCAGGCCAAGAGCAGTATCTAGACCCCAACTACTTGAACAAATACTATCTTGACCCTAATATCAACCAAAGCTACTCACACTCAACCTACTTGCACCAAAACTCTACTGCTACCAACCAACCGTTCGGCATGTCGTCTGTACACTCCCATCCCAATCACTCAACCCAACATCAATTGCAGAATCATACTGAAGGTTGGACCAGCAACTCACCACATGTCAACCAAACTGCGATGTCTACCAATTCTGGGGCGCTACAATCGATTCCTATCCCTCATCAGACTAATCATCCGGGACAGCCATTGACCGGTGGACCGGCTTTCGGAACTCAAGGACCGGGGCCATTACCGATTCACCCTTCAGGCCATGGTGCCGGGCCGCAGGCCAGTGTCCGCGGATGCCTTCCTTCAAATGGCGCACGCGCACCTCGCAAGCGTGGCTCCACGAAGCGACAGGCCTCAAATCCTTGTCCATCTAATGCTCCTCCTCCTGCTCCACTTCAAGCGATTCCCACTCCTCCTCCTCCAAAGAAACAGCCTCAAAACCCTTGTTCATCAACCGCTGGCCAACCGGCTACTCCGTTACATACGAGCACTTCGAATGACCAACCTTCCACTTCCCATGGCGCCCAGCAGACCACGATTGCATCAACCGCTGGCCAACCGGCTACTCCGTTACATACCAGCACTTCGAATGACCAACCTTCCACTTCCCATGGCGCCCAGCAGACCACGATCGCATCTGCTGTACCGCAAGGGATGACTGGAGTTCACTCTGGTGGGGGAGAAGACCGTGCGGGTGATCTTGCGGGCGAGGTGGAGACTCAAGAGACATGTGGTAGTAAAAAGAAGCCAAACGAGAGGAAGCGCCTTGATCCACTTGTTCTGGAGTCTCTGAGGGGCCTCCAGTTGGATCAGCTGCGAAAGAAGGTTGCCCACCACGGGCATTACAAACGTCTGGCGGCCAAAGATCGTGTTGCCCTTGATGCAGCTTACTCCCGATACCAACAAGAAGTGTACTTGATTGCGGCCAAAAGACTCCTCAAACCCAGACCCGTCTTGAACCATGTGGGCAGCCTGAGCCGATTCCGAGGCCCGAACATGTACATCAACTTTTGCGAATATGACATCGAGGCGCTGTGAGAACTCCTTTGGGATGGGTTGGCAGTCCTTGAGGGGGAAATAACAATATGATATTTCACTAGATAATATTTACTGTTACGGGTGGTTTGAAAGACCTGCCCCTCTATTTACTACACAAGAATTCTGACAACAATTTAATTTATTGTTGTGGCGTAACTTTGTGATGGAGAAAACTTATATGTAGTAGTCTCTATCAGACCTAGATCAGTATGTAATTCAATACAAGATGGTTGTACAACCTTTACACGGTGAGTATGGGTGTGAAAACAATCCAAGTGGAATATTTTTTATAGGGTTTTACGGTTTTTACGGTTATGCTGGATAAGTAGTGAAACTGTTGGTTGTTGTTGTTGATGTTGATGCTGGTGTTGGTGTTGGTGTTGGTGTTGTTGTTACTGGTGTTGACTAGACCTTAATGTTGAAGGTGTTTGTGTTGATGACCACTGAGCTAGCTGGGTGGGAACTGGCTGCTGAGTGATGATGGGGGGAATTGGTGAAGGAGAGGCCTCCTTATATATTCTTTTCTGAGTTATTTTTGCTGGTGGTGATGCAGTTGAGGTGATTTTGCTGGTGGTGACCTTGTGGGTTGCACTGCCTCCTGCAAAGAGTACATGCATTGAGCTAATTATGCTGTGGAAATAACTAAATATGGTACTACTGTATGTAAGGATTGCATAACTGGTTGCACTGCCTGGTGGAGGTTTTTCTGTCCACATGCATTTATGCAAAGTCTGCGTAAATTCAATTAAGTAACTAAGTGGAGGCCTAATGGTTGCACATATGCATGCAAGAATTGCATAAATGGTCTGCACTACTGGTGGAGGCCTGCTGATGTAATAATTTATGTGTATGTACTTATATATATGTGGTAAAATACTATTAAATACTAATTAATGACTAGTTATGGTATGGCTTTAACCTTTATATTGGATTATCTTCTAAACTAATAGAGATAGAGGTATAGTTGTAGTGAGTGACTATGGGTAAAATTGTATGCAGATTCTGATTATGCAATAATATGTTCATATATGTAAGTGGTTTAGGTTGTAAGGTAGGGGTTTTGGCAGTTTTGTTGCGCACAACAGCCTGGACCACCACAGCGCATAAAGTCTACTATGACAGTAAGTCCCTTCTCTCCTTCTATCTATCAAGCGGCCTGTCTGCCTGTTCTTGATCAACAGAAAGTCGATCAATGCGTGAATGAAAGCGTGAATGTGGCCGCCTTTGGAGAGCTCTTGACCAACAAACCAAGTTAAAGTACAAAGACATCGAATTCCTCAAGACATTGCCAAATCCGTTTGGACGTGGTGAATGCCCTGGACCCGATGGTGGGACTTCTGAAGCATCCCGAGCAAAAAACAAGAAAAGTCACTTCTATCAGAGTGCCGAAACCGAACTTTGGAGCAGAAAGGTGATGCTTGATGTAAGTTGTCAGATCATAGTTCCTTCCAACACCTACCTGCAGAATCTAACTGACTTGTGGTTTGTTTATAGTTAAAAAATCTTGGTGCCGCGCACAACATTGAAGGGTTTGTCATGTTGTATAAGGGGAATTCAAACGAAGTTGTTAGTGGCGGTAGCTTTATGGGAGAGCAGTTTGTGGATATGTTTGCAAAGGATAAGAAGTTGGACATCAGTTCCAACTTTCTATCCTTTGCAAGCAGTCAAGAGGTGATCAGGAAAGCAACTGGTCAAGTTGCTAAAGTGGTCCGACCTAGGAAACGAGCCCAAAAGCTTGGTTCAAAGGAAACCGCTTGGAATCTTGGTACGTCTCCTAAGGTCTCTCAATCTCTCTTGTTTGTTTTACTTATTATACAAACTGTTTGGATACAGGAGGAAGAGAAAAGAATCGAGATGCCGCCCAAGAAAAATTGAATGAAGCAATCAGTAAGTTTTCCGTGTGAACCCCACATCATATATTTACTGACAGTTGTTGTAATGACAGGCAAAGCGACACACAGCAGGAGGAAGTGGCCCGGAAAAACAACCGAGAAATCTCTGAAGAAGCTCGGTGTTACTTTGCGCATCAAGGACAACAGCTATGGAATCAACGTGTCCCATTTTTGCGGCAAGCCCGGCGCCATGGGTGACAAGCAATTGCAAAAGGTCTTGAGGGCCTTTGCCAAAGATTTGGTCGTTCTCACGGGGCCACCAGCACCTGAGGTTCCCGAGACGTTGGGTGCTGATCCCAAAGAGACCTCGGACAAGGAGTTGGAACCTTCAAACTCAAACAAAGGTGAATGTGTGATTGCAAAGGCTCCCAAAAAGAAGATCACAACTGATCACCGCCGTCTCAAGAGCAATACTGCCGGAGCCAGCGCGAAGGCCGCTCGGACCACAAGCACGAATGCTGGTAAGAAGCAAAAGCGACGTTTGTCTGATTTTTCCAAAAGCGGGGAAGACACGCCAAGTTCTTCTGATGATGATGGAGATGAAGATCAAGATGCAAATTTCAACGACAGCGATGACAATGATGAAGATGATGACAATGAAGATATTGACGATGAAGATGAATATGAAGAAGGGGATGTTGATGATGAGGTTGATGACTGACCGTTCTTCTCTCTTATATGTATTTGTACCATCGAACATGAATCCCCACTCAGCCTGATGCTTGTTTCTTCACATTTTGTCTTGTCTGGTTTTCTCCGGTTCCTCTTATAAATACAAAACAAAACAAAAAAAATCTCCTGTGTCCAATTCCTCTCACAGATTCTAAAATACATTTCATCTCATCTTCTGTTGCTTTTGCTCTCATGTATATAGACCTCACATGAAACTTAAACCCCAAAAAAATTGCCTTGAAAATCATACACAAATTGTATTACTAGAAAAAAATGGGAGTGAAAAATGAGAGGAAAAAACCGAGACAAAATGAGAGGAAAAAACCGAGACAAAATGAGAGGAAAAAACCGAGACAAAAAAAATGAGGTTGAAAGTATTTTGAGAGAAAATATATTGAGATCGAGATTGTGTTGTCGGTGGGGTGTTGTGTATGGAGTGTGTGCGGGTGTGTAAGACGGGTTGTGGTAAGTGATGTGTAAGGCCCACCGTGGTAAGGCCGATGATGTGTAAGGCCGGTGTGGTGAGACCAATCAAGGTCATGTATAGTACAAAATAGTTATTTACAGTAGTTTTCATGTTATTACAACCAGATATGCATATGCTACATAACCCTTTATCTTGTATTCAGTTCAGAAGGTTACAAAATAGTATTTTTACACATAGTTTGGTTACATAATATATAGTACTACATAGCTACAACATACTACATATCACACATCTCAAGATACAAATTAGTCTTCCCTCAGTCCCTTCTTTCTATGATAATAATCTTTCAGTAAATGTTATTTATTTCATCTCAGATATCACTTATTCAGACTACATATACTGTTTCATCCCATGCATCTGATTTCTCATCCAGATATTGTCATCTCATCTCACTCATCATCCACTTCTTTTCATACATCAATTACTTCATTCTACATTTATTTTATTCTACATTTATTTCATACTACAAGTATTGTGTTTTGAAGAATGCTTGGACGGATTTGCAGGATCTGCACTCGAAAATCCTGGATTTTCATCAATTTAAGTTTGGATTTTTATTTTATTCTTTTCCCTCTCAAAGCCATGATGTCGTCATAGGCTGCCACATCGGCCTCCATCACTATTGATTCACAATCTGGGTGAAGCTGCCTCCAAACCACCTCCCAAAACCATCAAAAACAACAATCAGAGCGTTGGTGGTTCGACGATCGTCTCGATGGCGCAGCTTGGATACAACCTTCTTGGAAGGAGTAAACCATGCCCAAGATCCCGGTCGGTATTTTACAAACTAGAAACTACTCAGGACCGATGTCGGTTCTTCTCCAATTTGCCTTGTCCTCTCTGCATACAGGCATGGGTCTTCCATTTCCACTTATCAACCAGTCAAATGCTTTTGATCTGGGTGTGTTTCCTATCATATGAATTGCCGAGGCCCATAACATAGATCTTAACCTTTTCCTCTCATCGTTGTTACCACAGTTGTGTATAGCATTGTTGATCTTGAAGATTAACAGAAATCAAATCAAATGTTCAACATCAACTTGGTGAGATGTGTACAAGCAATCTCCGAGTTGTCTTTAGTGAAATGCGAGCCATGTTAACAGAGACCAATCTCAAGAATTGAGTAAGAATGAGTTGTTTGAGTAACCCCATCCGAATTGATGCACATCTACCGCTCAAAAGTTGAGACTTGGTTCACTAGGATCTTTCGGTCAAATGTTCAAATAACTTCACTGAAGCAGTCCTCATCTCCTTCAGATCACTGTCATCTTTGGCTAGAGCTTCAGGAGCAACAGTCATTTGACTTGCAACGATTAACTTGAATTTGATGCAAAATCATTTTCATTACTAGGTTTCATAGAGAAGAATACGTAGGCCGCTTTCCTAGTAACCATTGTTCTTTAAACTTCATTCAAGGATAAGATGAGTAACAACACACAAATCAAAAAAAAAAGTTGCAGAAGAACAGGCATTTTGAGTAAAAGATCAACACCGATTGTTTCCGCTTGTTCATTTGATATGCTTGTGATGACTACTGAGGGGATATGTGATCCAAATAAATCAATCCAGTCAACTGAGTAAGCAACCAAGAAGTGATACGTGATGTCAATGTCATTGTGGACAAACTGGTAGTCAGGTAATGAAGAAAAAACCCATAAGTAGATGAAGATGATCAGCATTGCTCACAATGTCTCTAAGTGTTTGAGCCCAAAACGACCATTATAACATCCGTGGTTGTTTGTCTGATTGTCAGGTTTGGGTGATCAGTCTGATTGGAGACTTGAAAGGCCTGTACTGTTGTTAATGCTGCAAAGCCGAGTTTAATCGGACCATGAGAACACATGAGCTCTTTTGTTATGACAAAACGACCGCTGATAGATGAAAAAAAAACTAACTTTTGCATGGCCAGAAACTCGAGTCCTTCAAGTGCCATAAAGATCGCTCAAGCCTTGGTAGATGCCTTGTACGATTGAAAAATCGTTTATCATTTTTGTCTGGGATCGATGCCTGGATAATTGGGGGGGATCGGTATTGGTGGTGGTGGTGGTCGGCGAGCTGGTGTCTGCTTGATCACAGCAAGGTGAATCAAACCAAAGCTGTGTGGCAAAAACCAGCAGCTTAAACTGCTGCACAGCAGCCCAACACCATAACTTTAGCGCTTGGAAAACACTCGTTTGTCCAAGCTTTATTCAAAAGACAATATTTCATTCTTATATTCCATTTCAAACTCAATACACATGGCTTATATCACCTACATTCTCATCATACCTCTCATTTCAACTCATTACTCATTGCTTATATCACCTACATATATATTTCACCACACAGATTTCTCATCTCACCTCAGAATATTTATTTCAGTCTTTTATTATCTCATTTCTTTTTGCACTACATATTATTTTATCACAAACAGAAGTTACTTCATATTTTCTCCTTTTCAACATGTTTATTTCACACTACGCATTTGTCAGCCACATTTATTTCATAACCAATTGTCTTTCAGATACAAATTATTTCATACCATCTTCTTACATCAGCTGATATCTTACCACTAGTATCTGCTCAGAACCACCCACATGTATATAGAGAATACCCTTTCCCACTTACTTTGTTCCCCATGCTTGCATTAGAGAAGTAAACAGATAATTACTTAGCAGACATCACTTACTAGTAGTTACCAGAAGTAATTATTATTGATTTTCCCCCAGAAGATAAGAAATTGAACCCAGAAACCATTATCCCCCAGAGCCTCATCCTTACCAGAATCCCCCACATCCTCAATCTCTCAGCAGGTGACTTGTACAAGACATCAGTAATAAATCTCATACTAAGATTACCCACAGAAATAGCCACACCTTTTCTTTAATTCTTAGTGTAACTCTCTCCCAAGCCTTGACAAGAGGGCAGCTTCATCAGCATCCAAGTCTTCAACTCACATTTTCCCCTGTGTAGTTGTTCTTTTCCCCTCTAAGCTCTTTTCTTTAGCTTGAAAAGTTCCACACCGGTGTGGGTGTGTAAGGCCGATGACGGATGTGTAAGTAAGGGAGCCGGGGTGCGGGGTGTGTACACCCGATGATATGTGTTTTAGGGGAGTGATGTGGCTGTATGATGACATGTGATGTAGCTGGGCGAGGCTGGGTGGCAGGCCTCAAGGGGCACCTGGGGAATGAGGGACTTAGAGAAATTTTTCCAGGTGGCAAAAAGCTGGAAATTGAGGTACCCCTGGAAACTCTGGAAAGTCTATACGTTTGCAGAGAAGTGACTGGTCTGTGTAGTATAGGACTTTTGTGTGAATGTACTTATAGTATAATACAATGTAGTGGCCACGGGTGTACAAATCTGGCTTTCTCGAGTGCTTGCCCGCCGACCTCTTCGACACCTACCCCCCAACATCATGAAACTCTACCGGGCCATCGAGGGGCATGAGAAAATTGACAGTTGGGAAAAAGCACAAGCTCAATAAGCTGAATACATATGCGTAATCCGATCGTCAGCATTCTCGAGACCGGCAGCTTCACTTGCTAGTGAACAAGAAAAGACGCGTCCCAGGATAGTAAACATAATATTGGTTGTCTGCTCTTCCCTAATCTCGTATTATATGAAGCGTGATGAGCCTATCAGCACTAGATTATAAGTTTATAGCCATGAGCTAACCCTAAATTTTGGTATTAGTACACTCCTAGTTCCTGACCTGTTGGAGGTTTGATTTCCCTTGCCAGCATCTTGGCTTACAAGTTGGAGGAAAACACACACACACCCAGCCTCTCACTCTCAGCGTTTTGTGATTTTGAAGTCATCTTGGCTGCTAATTGGGTACTCCTGATCAGTCTGGTTGCTGGCATGCATACATTAATCAATGATCGCAGTCTGACTCACCCACTCACTCACTCACTGATGATGTCATTCATGACCCCCTGCCCTATCCCCATCGAAAGAAGACTCTGACCCACTCATTCGACCATTTTTAAGGTCATAAGCCCCAGTGGGAAGTTGAGTCCACTTAATCCTCTCGCCGCCAGTGCCCGAGAATCATGGCTGTGTTTGATTTCAGAAATCATGCAAGAATTTCATGAGGTGCACCTCCTTCGATCCGATGAAATGCTTTTAAATTCAATCAACTGTTTGAAGTTTGCAGGCTTACTCAGTCAAAAGAACCGATGGTGATGTCATCCTCAGCATGACCGCATCTTTGGCAAGAACCGCGGCTTTCTGACCACTACAATAAAAGCCTGTTGACCATTAAACAGATCGATCACCCTCAAGTTAACTAACCCCAACCACAAACAAAACACCAACAGTACTTATCACAATTATCTCTGCTTTGAATTCCTCCTCTCACCATGCCGTCCTACAAACTCACCTACTTTGAGCTACAGGTTTGTGGCGATCAAATTTTCATCACGCCTTTCCATTCGCGTGCCATGGTTCTCATTGTCTGATTGAGTGCTTCTTTGATCTCTCTTTCCTTGCTTCCAGGGTGGTCGAGGAGAGAGTATTCGCCTCGCGTTTCATTGCGGCGGCATCCCGTTCATCGACGAGCGCCTGACTAGTGAGCAGTTCGGCAAGATCAAGGATAGCTGTCCGTTCGGTCAAGTGCCCGTCCTGACGGTCGATGACAAGACCGTGATCCCTCAAGAGGGAGCGATCTTACGTTACGTTGGCCGACTGTCTGGGACTTATTCGGACGATAGAGAGAAGGCTGTGAAGCAAGATATCATGTTGAACTTTGGCGATGGTATGTTTGAATATTCGCTGCCGTTTACCAAAATCCTTCAGTGCTCATGTGTTTCCAAGGAATCGCTCTGTACATAGACATCTACTCTATCGCGGCTACGTTTTTTGCGCAGGACCACCCGGGAAAGGAGGAGTTGAAGAAAAGGAGCGTTGATGAGCGCATCCCCAAGACTCTCGGTCATCTTGACAAGTACCTTTCCAACCAAGGGACGACCTTCAGCGCTGGAAACGATCTGAGCATCGCAGATTTCAAACTCTATGCGGCACTCATGCTTATCAAATCTGGTATGCTTCAAGGCTTATCCCTCGATATCGTCGACAAGTACACCCACGTCGCAAAACTCTACCAAGCGATCGAAAAGCATGAAAAGGTCGCTAGTTGGTACAAGAGTCGGGCTCAGTAGGCTCTTGGAATCCACTTACCCAAACATTGTCCACCAAGCAAAATCTATCATTCTCCCAGACAATCAAACCAACTATTCTCCATCAACAAGCAGAATTAGCTATTTGTATCAACATTATAAGAATGTGTTCGTTGGTTGATCCTTGTGAAGCTCTACTGGAGCTAACCTACAATTACCGTGTGTAACATGAATACATGTTTCATGGCTGTCCTTCTTGGAGCTTGTATGCTGATGAGGCAAGGCAAAGGGGGTAAAGGGCCAATGAGTGAAGGGAATGTTGTATTGGAATCACTTGGTTTGTGTTGATCATACACCGACATCAATGGATTTGTTAAACAGGACACTACACGGAGCCTAGTAGTAGACGTTTGGTGACCCGACATCATATTCTAAATTAGTTGCAATTGTTGACCTGAATGTAACCATAAAATGTCATGAAAAACTTGTCTGGCAGGATTTCATGAGTTAAATTGTGGTAAAACTATAGAAAGTTGACCAAATCCCACCTTGTGCCAGTGGGATATGATCAATTTTTTACAATCCCTCCATGATCCAACCCAGGCAATCCTGAGTAAGATATTTCTCGCATAAAAGTTAATCATAGAGAGAAAATTTGACAATGGGACCACCAAGGTTGTGAAAAATCTAATTCCAAGAACAAAACACTTTTTTCATTTACTTCAGTCTAGTGAGAAACTCTATGCTGATCAAACCAAACACATTGCAACTGAAAACATTTCAACCAAAACTGTACCCCTTGCCTAGAAATCAGGTCCTCAAGCGATGAGTGACTAGGACTTTACAGTCTGTATGTTTTGGTCTTACTGCCACCTAGTACCTTGGAAGAATTCAAAATTGCTGATCCCAACACCTTGTTTCTGTACAAAGACTCTTCTGATCATCATAGAGGATCTGTAAAGATTTGTGTATTTTTATTCTTGAAAGCTTGCTTCACCAGATAAAAAACATAAGATATACTAATTACAGGTGACTTCTTATTTCCCATCAATTATGTGCCTGTCACTGATTTTTTTTCCCCTTTTTTTCCCTATAAGCTACTTTTTATCATTGCTTTAAGACACTCATTTTTGTTTACGTGTGACCTACCTGGACAGTTCATACATCACGAACCCCAGTTCTGCAAACCATAAATGCTGCTGCTTTATGCCACAGAGGTGCAGGGACAAGGATAAACAAAATTGATTGCATCATCACAATCATGGGAATATTGGGGTTTTTTTTTATTTCTCTTGGAATTTTGTTTCTTTTCTTCATTGTCAATAAACTAAATCAGTGTCTATATCACCATTGGCCAGTAGGTCGTTTCCCAGTAAGACACAAAGCAGGAAAAAGAAAAATAGGAGTAGACACATCATTGAACATTCTTGATGTACATGCACTATCTCAACTAAACAACACAAATATAAATAAAGCAAGCCCCAATTTGTAAGAGAAGCAAGGGAGATCCGGTCGCTCATTCCTCAAGAAGCACTTTTTCGGCAACTTCTTCTTCACTACTTTGTCCTCGAACTATTTCAACACTCAGACGGCCGATGTCCACTAGTCCATGGAACGTTTTCAGAAAATCGGTGAATAGCATGTTCCCTTGCGCATTGGTTTCTTGGTCTAACTGTTTCGATTCGATCTGATTTTGCTTCCGCAGAGAACTCCAATGGAAGCGCATCTTCTCCTCGAATGGCAGTAGCTTCTCCAAAAGCTTGGGCGTGTTCTCGTCAAAAATCTTGGCTAGCTCCGGGGCCAAGTTTTCTTGACAGGCTACTGAGGGGTGGATCGTTTCCATCGAAGTTTCATCCCAAGCCTCTGGGAACTGTCGAACAGTTTTCAAAGTCTTGCTCATCACGCTGCCTTTCCTAGGACTGATCAGAAAAAACACACACGTCAAAACCATCAATTCATCACCCAGAATGGACAGTTATTGAGCAAAAGACTAACTCATGAGGCGCCTGCTTTCCCCAGTCGGCCTGAGGTCTAGGCAGAGTCATAAGATATGGCTCATCGATTGCAAGCAAATTGTATTTCATCAAGTTGGCCTAAAATAAGGAGTTGATTGTAAATAGCTGATCGGAAAAGCAATATTTCAACTTGGAATGGCCAGGAGAAAAACGCTTACTACCATCCAGATGAGTGTGATGTCGGATAGGTCATGGTCTGGATATCCACCGCCGACATCACTATGCGAGCCCGAGAACCAGACTTGCTTGAGCACTTGCGGGTATTCTTTGAAACCACTTGGCGAGGGCGTCCTAACCCATTTGGTAGCTGTAAAATCTTTCCGCGTCTCATGAACAGCTGCATGGCGAAGCACTCCAATCAGCACTCTAGAGGCAAGCTGAAATTGATCTCGAATAGGTCTTTTTTGGCTTACCCATGGCATGAAACGCATACTTGATTTGGTGGCTCAACTTGGTATCTCTGAATCCGAGCAGGTTGAAATTTTCACCAAAGAATCCGGCTGTTTTTTCTCACAGGGGTGGGGGGCACTCTTCGATCAGCACTAAAACCATTTCGAGATTTGAGGCAATAGGACAGATTTGACCGCCAAACTCACGTAGGCCTAACGCTCCGACGGTATCCCACACACCTACACATTTCAGAGTGCCCTCAGCCAAGCGGCACATGTGTTTGTGACCTCCATGGCGATAGTTATCAAGGAATTTCTCGGCGGTGTCTGAACGTTCTGTACCTTCTAACCGGACCTGATAAGCCGCAAGCACTTGATGAAAGTCGGCCATACCCGCGGTGGTCAAGATTCCAATATCGGCTATCAAACTGGCGATCGTTCTTGCGGTAAAAGCTCCGCGAGAGAAACCGAACAGGCTATCAAATTCAATGCCATCCAATTGCGAAGTTAGTAAAAGGGACTAGTAATATTTTTGAAGTTAAATTTTTCACTTACAAGACTTCGTCCCCTGGGATATAGTTTTGAGCAATGAACGCATAGGCTTCTCTGATTTTTGCTAAAATGCCAGCTCCGGTAGCTCCTTGGGTTATATCCAACTTTCCAATCCAATCAGGTTAGTCAAATCTATAGATCTACATAACCATTCGAAAACGTGTTACTTACTGCGAAATCGTCCGTTGTCCCTAAATTCATAATCCGTACCAATAATGTTAGAAAATTCTGTTGATTCATTGAACGGCCTTTACAGCTGATCGGGGGGCAACTCACCTAGACCGGCTTGATAGAATACAACTTGAGGTATAGGAGGAAAGGTGCGACGGTCCTCAGGAAAGATACATCGCGCTATAGGAAGGATCGGTCAGTCTAAATGATCAACAAAGGCTCAAGCAAAGGATGCCCTCTCAAAAATTGAAAGAGGCGCTAGTCCCTCACATAATTTCAAAACGTTTGTCGCTGAATTAGGCGCGGAACTTAAGCCGTTCTTCCAAGTTCCTGCGTATAGGATAGAGTGAATTTTAATCAGAAAGAACATGTTTGAGAAAGAGGTGAAAAGTCGATGAGAGTCAGACGGACCATCACAGCATATGATGATACGTTTGTGTAAACGAGGTGCACCCTGGGTAATCTTCGGGGAAAGCATTTCGGCCTCAACGTAGCCAGAAGCATACAGGTTGGTCGGCAACGTTGAGGACCGGCCGGCGCTTCCGAACTTGCTCCCTTGGCGATCTGGTTTCCCGATCGCGACCACATCTGTGTACGATCGACTGGGAGTTGGCTTGCTTTGGGGAGCAGAGGGTGAAACGGCTATAATGGAATCAGGAAGTCATGATTGATTAGATAGTTAAAAAATTGAACATGGTCAAGACTTGAAGAGATATGTAAGAAGATTTCAAGTTTCTATAACGAACGGCTCTTGCTTTCGGGGCTCTGACACTGAGTTTTGGCCTCTTTCGAGACAAAGAATTGGAATAACTCTTTAGCAGCGAACATCGTACGATGGTTCCAAGTGACTTTTGGTTCAGTTGAAAATGGGGTATGCAAAGATTGTATAGTGAATTGGGACTTTCGGTCGGATGGGTTTGTTGGAAGATGCAAGGAAGAAAGCAACCAAGCAATCAATGTATTATGATTGGGGTAATTGAAACGAGAAGAACTTGGCCAAGGGGTCAGGAAGACAGCTTCTCCTGCCCTTTAAGTATTCCGAACGCGCACACTGCAACTTATCTCTCCTTCATGCTGGCACCAACCGGAAGATACCCACCTCAGCCAAAGACAGCCGGAACTCCGGGGGATCTGGCAGTGGTCCTCAAGGAACCCAACAAACAAATGCTATGTAGTCCGTCCTACCAGAAGCACAGCACCAGAACACAATTAGCTTCACGCGATCTGAGTTGGCGCTAGTTGGCGGCGATGGACGTTTTCCGGGCTTGGCGACTGCATGGCAAATATATCGGCTACATCTTTATATCCTGGATTGCTGCTCGTTAACATCGCCCGCTTCACAGCTGAGCCTGAGAGTTGGGATGGTGGTGACGATCAATTAGAGGTTCATGTATGCCCGAGCCGGCATCGTGGACGAGGAAAAAGATCAGCCGACAGTCGGGAATCTGCACGGAGCGCGTCCAGCGTCATGTTCATGATGTGGGCATAGCATAAAGGAGAGCTATCGAAGTGTATCTATCTCTACACTACTCTGTGCTTTTGGTTTATCGATAAGTTTACAGAGGAATATCTACGTGGTCATGAGGCATGACTGAGAACATCTCCATTTCATGAATCGTCCCAACAAGGCTATGCATTAATGCACAAGTATAACAGGCGACAACGGACTCAGGGGAACTCCGCGTTTTGCTGACCAGAAGAAACAAATTTGTCAAACAAAAATACGGGTGTCCAGAAGTAAGGGGATAGAAGAGGCAGTGGTACTTTCGGTCTCAATTAGCTTCAGATTATCATCCACGGGAATTGCGTGCAGTAGGCTTTTAACTTTATGTTGAGCGATTTTGCAGGCCAACATGGAATGGATCAAGCCTATCCAAGGAATGCTGTGCCAAATAATATGCAATCCTTCCAAATTCCAAATCTTAGCTTCCCCGACATACACAGACATCCCAGATGTGCAGTTGATGCAGATCTGTGATCAGTAAATAAAACAAGACAACCCTAGGTAGGGAACAGGATAAGTATTACATAAATTTGCCACTTGGGGATGTCTCAACAGAGAAAAATACAATTTGTTGAGCCCGGATGACTCACAAAAAAAATCTGTGGTTGGGAAAGTGGAGAAGTTAAGAAAAAGAGGAAGCTTGCAAACCCATTTTGGAGATGAACAAATCATTCGAGAATTGGCCCAAATTGGATCCATAGTCAATCGGATTCTAGTGTGTTTCTTGCAGCCAAAAAAACATGCGATAGGGCAAAGAACCCACATTGACAAGTGCACATCCTGAGGAAAAAATAAGCAAGCCAAGAACAGCTGTAAAACAGTCTGAGAATCATAAAATGTTTCTTGGACTTGAGTCAGATTTCTAAATGTGCTAGTTCTGACAGCATAAATGTACAAGAATTACCAATAATAAATGTAGCAAGAAGTGTAACTAGTATAGGAATTACAAGGATTTGTTGAAATTGGCCACTGAAACTGTTAGAAACATAGGTTTACTTATACAGACACACAAAAACCCTGATCATACTCATTTGGAATCAATGAAATAGATTATTCAATGGATGAACAGTTAATTGAGCAAATTTGTTCTTTGATAATACTTGTGAGCGGGTGGTAATAAGCTATGGAGGCATTCTGAATGGAAAATGAATCGGATCAATCACATATGTACCATATTCATCACTCTGGTGGTGGTTCCTCGATATTTCCACCAATGCTATTCCAGATCCTTGCCTCAATATAACGATTGGCACCAACCACATTTGATTCGGGTATGATGCTCACTCCGATTAGGATCCATGTTGCGAATATCGGTCTGGTTAACATGTCTAAAATTGAAAACTGTAGACCGTCGATCAAGCACTATCAATATGTGTTATGTGAAAGTATAATGGGTTCAATTTTTATTTCGTGGTGAAATTAACTTACCAAAGCAATCTCCAGGAATGGATCCACCTGCAAACAAAAAAATAAGGGTATACAACAGCATGCATCGAATGCATTAGTATGGTAAAACACCTGCACTAATGGCTCTAATGTCAACTTACGGGAGCACTCCAGATGATGGGATAGAAGGAAACCAATAATACGATGTAGGCTGCTAGATAGTTGAAGAATCTGGCCACCCGAACTGAGTTCCGGGCTGAAGACCTTCTTCCACTTGTTAGGATTTCGCGCACAATACTCAGCCTAAGACCTTGCCAGAAATGAGATGCAGGGTTAGGGTTAGCTGATTGATTCTTGGCGGATTTCTTGAAGATTCTTAGCTTCGCTCGCTGACCAAAATATCCAAGCCATTAAAACTAATGGCCACCTCAGTCTATTGGATCGTTGAATTGTACCCAGGAAGCCTGTCACGCCCATTCCAATTCCATTTAGAGCCTACATTCAGATCACCGAGTTTGACGAGTGTGGTGGTGATAAAAGCCGATCAATATGAAGTCCGCAGACACATATAAATCAGTCTTATTGAGAGCTGCGTACTGACCATGATGACAAGGTCCTGTATTGATACCCCTGAAATCAGACCCAGTTCTACGAGTACCAGAGGGAGTGTCAAGATCCAATGCAGATCTCTTATCCAGATCGAGCTTCCTGTGACGTTGATATCGGTCAAGATGAAATAACTGTAAATTTGTTTCGAGCGCAATCGATCAATTTCTGGGTAAAGTATATGCATTTTCATAACGGAAAAGATAGATTCATTCTTGATGGACTGACTAGGTGACAAGCGTTAGAGTGCTTAGAGTCAAGCTGATGTGGTGAAGCAATTTTGTGTTGGGTTGTTGACGGGTGGTCAGAACCCACTGGGCGGCGGTGGAGATGGTCATGAGACCGAAGGTAACCCACAGGATCTAAATTCAGTCATTCCAGAAAAGTTGAGGAGGTCAACGAGCTTTCTGGTGATTTGAGAGGCACGAATCATCGTGAAACATTAGCCTAGGCTAACGAGCGAGTATTCCAAGAGACTTGAACCTACCTTGGTAGTCGGAACTGACGACATCTCCGACAAGCCAACTTTCGAGGTTTTCGGGAGCTGTTTGAGTGCCGGTCTAGGGTAGTTCGGATTTGCTTCAATCGATTATAGCTTCTGCTTCTTTGGTTTTTAGTGGTAGTCCAAGTTTGCTCCTATTTTCATCGTTCTGCTTGACTGAGAAGAAATAATTATCTCGGGTGACGTCATCGACAAGTCGAAGAGCCACGGTCTTCGGAGGAGCTCGAAGGACGGGGCCCCGGGAGACCTTCAACATTCCCAGATGACCAGGAAAAGTTTGCTGCCGGCAGTCCGAGCAGGGCAAAGTCTAGCTACCTCCGGTCCCATTTGGACAGTTCAATCTATAAAGAGAGGCCAGGTCTTAGGCCGGCCTTCCCTCAAGCTCAAGTCTTGTGCTGTGATTCGTTAATTACCCATCGGACCGGCATGAGCCGGCTGTTAGTGAATATCCCTTAGGCTTCTTGCAGCATCCATGATTTTCAGACCTCTTCAGTGACTTCCGACGAGTACAGCGAGTTGGTGGATTTTTCTTCCTTCATAATGTCGATCGCCCCGACCTGAACTTATCGCGATTAGCGGTACAGGTTGCGGTCTGTTGTGAGCAGCAACCACGGACTTACAGCCCAAGGTTTCTGAAATCTGAGCACCAGAGGATACCAGAGACAGTAGACTTGATGTCCTGTGTCTGACTCTATTCATTGATCTGTTAAATACTGAGGCTGTTTCAGGTATTTGGATCATCGAGTTACAACGTCCAACGCGCATGAAACATCCATTTAACTAGATCCATCCAAGTTGCACTTCTATAATAGACACCCAGCATCCAAAAGAAGACCGTATTGTTGTGTTTTCATTAAGATGAATATATCAAGTAATGAGGCATCATATAAATAGCAAGACTTTACAAGAATTAATCTCCCAAGAACAAGCTGTGAGCAACTTTGGAGATATCGTTAACAGTAAAGAGAAAAAAAATTAATACTTGACGTTCATGGCCCGAATTAAGAGGCATTGTCATGAGCCTTGAGTCAATGATTGCGTTATGTATTGGTCCCGAGAAGGGGAGGGGGAAATAGATATTGTGGAGAGAGGAGTGTGTAGAAGTACAAGAAGGCGGGCGAGATGACAAAAGTCGATCAAGTACCGAAGCAGGTCTTCTGGTAGTCGATCTGCGACAGTCGCTCCTCGAGACCGGTGATGAAGTTATCCAAGTCACAGAGACCGGTGCTGTTGTTCGGCTCGCATCCTTGCAAGCCATCTAATGGGACGACGGCATCGTTGAGGATAAACCTGTTGTTTGTTTTTAAGTCAATCCGGAGAATCATTTTTTTAGCAATCTTTTGTGGGGTAAATAATGACATCGTAAAGTGCCCGCTCACCTGATTGATTTGCTAGTCGAGCTTGAGCCCGGTGCGGTGGGACAGGTCAGAACTTGTGCAGCCAGTTGGGCGCCGAAGCTTTCACCAAGGACGTGGATATCTCATGGTTAGCCGATGCCTAATTTCTGACATGACAGGCTGAGATAAGTGACTTACGGAGAGATATGGGTACTAGTGAAGGATCTAGGCTCGAGCCGTTTGTCGGTTGGCAGTGGGCCAGATTGGGCAAGGCTGGTCAGATTGAGCGCGACGACGATCGCAGTGAGGACAGTGTCATGAGTGGCGTCGACGTAGATAGACTGATCCAGAGGAAAGGTCACCGGGTTCGCGTCGAGGGTGAGGTTGATCGAGGTCATACCCGTCGTGGGCGAGATCTGGGTCAAGCGAGCCAGCTGAGAGATTGAGCAGGGCGTGGATGATAAGGAGTGCGGTCATCAGCATTTCGAATAGCCAGCTCTCGAGATTTGTGGACGGAGCTCGACTCAACTAGTTCTTCGGCCCAGCCGGCACCGAGTGCAGCCGAATCGGGATTGCCAAAACTGGAGGAGTACCAAAATTCTGAGGAAGGTGTTCCACCTTGTTAGTGAGCAAATTGAAAAATTGCAGTCTGGCTACGGCTTACCGAGATCATTCGCATATGTGAAATCTTTCCATTCGCCAGGAGTGAACAAATCACAGAATTCACTGGTTCCAAGTGCCACAGACTCATAGGCACAAAGAGCTTGCATGGTGTTACTGTTTTTTTGAAGTGGTGAAAGGGAGAGATTAGGACCGAGATGATTGATGAAATGAGTGATAGAAGATGACTAACACATCTGAAATTGAGAATTGAATACCCGAGACCAATTGGTTTAATCGCTTCTGGGCTTCCTTCAACGATACATCTTTCCAAATCTGAGAGGCTCGGGGGCCGGCATCAGCTCGTTGAGGTAATTGTGAATTAGGGCAGCTGAGATACGGGGCCAATGAGTTATTGAAGCCTTTATTCTCGATGATGATCGATTGGTGGTATTTTCCTTCGAGGGGTAGGCCGAAGAATCCAGCGGCGAAGTTCAGCGCGGAGTGATACATCCGATGCTGGGATGTGGTTCGGAAGACCGGTAAGGCTTGCTTTTGTTCATCGTGTGGTTGGTCCGGATCGAATGGTAGTAAGAATCCATACTTTTGTCGATATGAAACCCCTAGCTGGAACATCTGTGAGCGTCCGAAAGGTGTAAGAACTTCGCTGCCTAACTAGTAAGTTGGTAAAAGACACGGAAACAGGAGTCAATACGGAATATATAAATCTGGCTTGATAAGAAGGAGGAAACACGATGCTTACTTTGAATTTCCACCTGTTCAAGAAAGCCAGATCACCTGTGGCTTGAAAAGTTCCGTTGTCCTAAAATGATTTGATTTGCTTGTGAGTACACAGATAAGTTAGATTAGGAATAGAGAAGGCTGACTGACTTGAGCTGCATGGATCATTTGGCCAAACTGGGGCAGGAGGGTCCCGGAAGTAGGATACCTGGCGCCGTGCCGATGGACTAAGTGTACCTGTTTGAGAAGGAGCGGCTGAGTAAGTTTGAATCAAAGATGCACCGAAACAAAAAGGGACTGACTTGATTGATCTGACAACCGGACGGAACCTCAGGGCCAGATTGAATGCCAAATGTGTTTGGGGGGAGCGAGAACATCGGCGAGAGATTACCCCAGTGACGAGAGACGATGAAATCGGGGTCATCTGGGTGAGATTGGTGTGTGGCGGTCCCATTAGGCTCGAGTATTGGGAAATGGTTCTCAAGTAACGGCTGGCAGGCAGAGTTAATGAGATCTGGTTGGGCACCAACTATGTGGAGATGGGGTGCATATTAGTTTCCAGTGTCATATAAGTCCAAGCAAGGTACTATATTCACTTACATTGAGTCTTGCCAAGGTAGCCAACCTGATCGATGGGTGGGAACGAGCTCAGCTGTTGGCTGGTGGAGTGGAACTGGATGATGAGGATGGCCAAGGTTGAGAGGTAGAGTATCGGATGTGATGCCATCTTTGAGGGTGCAAGAGTTCCTTCGTACATAGGCAGCGTTCTTGCTCCTGGGAGGGATGGATGGTCTCCTTTTTATATGTATGCCCATCTTGGACGCTGCTGTTTCTCTGAGTCCAGTGAGACTATTTTAATCAAATGCATATCAATCTGCAGCAAATCTCCCAAGTCTGTACAAAACTGGCATTGGCTCGCACTGCAGGAACCAATTTGTACGTACAAGATCATCCAGGTTTGGGACAGAAGCTGAAGCAAGTCAGGCCAATACAGGAACAGGGATGTGTTTGATCGGTCCATCCTTGTCGATCCGACGACTGGGACGCTCACCGGGAGCTTCGGCAGGAGGCTACCGTGATCGCCGAGCCGTTCTTTCGGTCCGGTTTTGACTTGAGACTTTGAATCCCGGGAAGAGCTTCATAGGGGGCAGTCCCGCCGAGTTTCTCAAGCCAAGCTCACCGGCCGGGCTCTCCTCGGTGTCAGCCGCCCACCGGAACTTGTGTTCGATGTCACGAGTCCGGCTGCGAGCGGCCGTGGTGCACCGCCTGCTGTGCGCGGCCGGGTCCAAAGCTTAACTGCAAGTCCCTCTGCCGATCAGAATATCCGAATGCTTGGGTGGACGATCGCTAATCCTGTGATACCATCCTTCTCCTTCGGCCAGGCAGCCAGATTGATAACCAAAGTATTCATTGGACAGATGGCTGATTCGGAAAGAAGTTTGAGCGGTAAGGCTAGCTTTCATCAAACCCTCCAAGCAAACAACTGACTTGCTGATTATCTTTGAGTAGCTTCTGTCATTCGGATGTTGGTCCAGCTAGGCAGCAAGTACCGAGCTGCAGCAGATCACGCGGTCTACGAATGGGAGGATGAGGAAAGAGAGCTGACGGAGGATGACCAGAACAAGAAGATGGAAGTGTTCGACAAACTCCACTCGAGCCTCCTGCCAGCCATCAACCACCATCTCAGTTGCCTCGTGACTTCCCTCGACCTTGTAGAACACTATCCCAGGAAGTTTCCTTCTCCAAAGCTCGGGTTAACTTTGGAGACCTTATCAAGTTTGGAGCGCACCTTGGATCAAATCATTGTCGACTTTGCTATCCTCAAGACACCCCTACCAACTGTCCCCCACGACCATCCCCAGGATCGGTACAAATGCTTCAGATCTGATCGACTGATCGCAAACATCACCGACCTAATACAAGGTCCCATCCATTCGACATTATTGGATTCCAACTATTTCATCCGACTATGGGAGCTCTCAACCACTGACCCAGACAGAACTGCATTTCAAATCAGCATACCCCAAGCCGTACAGACTGTGCTTGAGGAGATAACTGAATCGACTCAGTTAGTCAATAAAATCCTCCGATTCTCTCAAATATCCGACTTGGATATTCTTCAAGAATGGTGGCAAGAGAACGTCGATTCACTAGATGGCACGATCCAGGCTCTCACCCATATCACTCATTCCGCACTAGGTCAACAAAGGCCACTTAGTGCTATCAGAACGAATCTGCTCAAAGAGTTTCAAACGGATATCACATTCCTCAAATTACTCAGAACGTTATATGATAAAGTCTCGAAATCGGCCACGAAAAAACTAGCGTACAGACTGGATCCTCAGACCGATTCGAAGGCCTTATCCACGATGTACCTTGATGCAGATTGGATGAATGGCTCGCTTTCTCTTCGCATGAGCTTCATGTTTGATCTTTTTAAGAATGATGAACCGCATGGAGATATAGATCGAAGACAGAATGACATGAGCCAGATGTCAAGACACGTTGATTCTATGCTACTCCACATAGCTCTATATCTTACCCCTCTACCTACTGCAATCGACCATACTTCACCCGAAAGTGACTTCAAGGCTTGGTTAATTATGTGGCAAGTGCTTTGGCACACCGTAATCACTCGGTACTAGAAGGTTCTGTCCCACCCCGATCACTGGTTTGGCCAATCGATACCTTAAATCAGAGCCGAAAGAGCAAACAAGCTCGAGGCTTGTCCCATGGACACGAGCCGTAATCAATAATCACATTCTTGTCATACTCTATCAAACACAACTTAAAAATTGTGTTTTACATTACCCGAAATATATCTGCTGTTATTTTCTTGATTGCTTTCATCCTCAATGCCCAAACATTGGCCACCAGAAGGCATTTATAAACAACAACACAGGATATTGGATGAGCTGTATTCTTGTCTAATTAAAACACATAAACACATGGAAAGGTTTGCTCTTGTGCCACAACATGAGTGCACTTGACAAGCCTTGTGTTCTCTGGGAACATTGGGACAGAGGATGAGTGGATTTCCTCTTTGACCATCATGTCACTTGACACTATGAGTATGATGTCCAGCTTAACTAAACCTCTCATGGTGAGAGTGCCAGACAGGCAGGTCTGGGCAGCAGCCCAGTCTCACCAGAGAGGCTTATACTTTAAGACTCAAAGTTGGCCTGAGCAGGTTACAATTTGAAGGTCCTTTTTGGCAATTTCTCCTTTGGCCTCCCCATCTCTTGTCTCAAAATATTTTTGTCCTTTTTTCTTCATTCTCTGGCATCTTGTTGTATTTTTTCTTTTTTTTTCATATTCCTGTTTCTATACCAATCTGTTTTAAGAAAATAAACAAAAAAAAAGAATTTTTGTCATTTTGAAGGCATGAAATATGCTTATAGTGAGAGTGCACTCAAGGATCCCTGCCAAATTTGCAAATCTAAGTCCAAAATCATGAACTTCATTTGGCTAGAATCAAACATACATTTGCAATAAAAAACTAAGGAAAAATCAAGAAGATGCAGATCTTCAATCTACTGGAACCTAGAAAGAATCTAGGAGGTATTGAAGGTGTGATGAGGCATGTAAGGGTACCACCACCAAAACCATGAATCCTGCTCATGCAGGAAATGTGTTTTAGTATTCAAGTCCCTCCTTTGGAAATTGGAAGGTTGCTTTGTGACACCCAGCCAAAGAAGGATTGGACTTGTGTTAAGTTTGCTATGATGTGAAATGAGCTGGTGAAAGAGGACAGCTGGATTTTCCACCACTCTAACAGGTGAGAGGGGATGAGCACACTTTCCTTGGTCCAACTCCTCTCATGATCTCATAGCTAGAGAGCCCATAAAAACAGGTAGGAAATTTCTATCCCCTGAGTACTTCATTCTTACAGGAACCTCCCTGGTGAAAATATGCTCCTGGTACTCATGTAGTGGTAAAGAGAGAATTAAATCATTTCCTTTCAAGTTTTTTAGTATGTATTTTCAGACTGCTTGTCTCCACTTAAATCACACTGTCACTACCAACTGATCTCACTTGTTCTACTACAAATCAAACTAATCACACAGCTTTCTGCACTATGATGAAGTACCCAGGGATTCTCCACCAATGATTCAGGATAAGCCTCTTGACCAAGTAATTCCACCATGGCCTAAATCCTCCCAAATCACACCTTCTCTTGACAGGCACCTTAAACACACCTGAAATACCCAGGCTCTGCAATCAAACTAGCAACTTCCACAAATTTGAGTTCAATATTTTATTGAATTGCATCCCACAAACCTTCCTTTTGCACAAGATTTTCTATGAATCTACCCCATCTCATATGATTTTCTGTGAATATGCTTATGATAATCTATCAGGTTTACTCTGATACTGGTCTCTCTACAATCTTTGTTTCCTCACCAAATACAATATTACTTTCCTCACCTGCCAATCTGCGGGTTCTAGGATCTCTCTAATTTTTCAGTCACTTGCATTCCCGCTAACACATCCTGAGTCCCCCCTCCAATCTGTGTACCAATATGGATTTTCAAGCTGGATCATCTTCAGATCTTGGAACTGTCTAACCTTGTTTCAGTTATGTGATTTGATAACAGCTGAAAATTGGATTTGAGTTTTTGGTAAGAAAAAAGCTAATCAAATTCAAAGCAACAATGGCCAGCCACTATGCTACACTATCTAGCATTACTGGTAACTAACTGTTACTTGAGCCAATAGAGGACTTCCTGTGAGTCCTGATTTCTGAATTGAGCTCCCCTAATCTAAGGTCTAAACTTTGATAGCCAGTGATAACTAAAAGATATTTGAACTGAGTTTTATTGCGAAAAAGAGCCGACACACTAAAGAAGGGAACAATAAGAAAACAGCACAGCAGATAAGAGAAAAAGAAGGAAGAAGAAAGAACCAACATTGATGGAGCAGATCATTTGAGAAGAGCACAAGCAATGAGGAGAGAATGGAAGAAGAACAGTAGGTTGGACTGAAGGATTCCAGTTAGTTGAGAGTCGACAGAAGTAGGAAATGAGAAGAAGAGACAAATCTCACCAGGCAGAGAAAAAAACAGAACAAAGAATTGAAGAAGAGTAGATTGAGGAAAAGAAGGAGGTGAAGGATTGGGTAATGGAGATGTAAGATGGTTGGAGAGTGAAGAGTGTTGAAGAGTGAGGTTGTTGAGGGAAGTCGGATTTGAGGTGGAAGAGTCAGATATTCTCGAGTGAGTATTGAAGAAGAAAGGATGAGTCAAACAGTCTTTTGAGATCAGGACTGTGAGATGTCTGTGATTTTTACAATAACTCACTTCCACTTTGTTCCCCTCATCAAAAAACATAGAATTCAGCATTTGAAGGTCTAATTTTGGGGCTCCAGATCAACAGGAAGTCCTCCAGAAACGTACTTCTTGGTTCTCAACCTTTTTCACATATAATCTTTCAATACCACTCTTTTAATCATTTCAACTCTTTCAAATTGTAGCCAACTCACTAGAGGACTTCCTGTGGGTTCTGTAGCCCCTGCAAAACCAGATTTTTGGCCACCATCAGATTTCTTCTGACTTCAGCGGGTCTAAATCTGATTATGTAGGGTCTGAACATAATGAAGTGAATTTCTGTACTAACAAAATTCAATAACCACTTGATATCTCACAATGCAATCACTCAAATGCTGAACTCAGTGAGAACAACAACCCAGCAATGCCCAACAAATTTGACTGAAATTCAGCAGTACATGGACCCCCTTGATCCACTAAACTAACATGCAAAAACTAATGGGGAATTATGCCCCAATTACAGTCCACTGAAAGTTGAATAACTACTATCAAGCCAACATAAAGAAGCATGAATGTCAAGAACAAGTAGATCACAAGTCCACAACATTGCCTAGCGGTGTAATAACAAACAGTCTCAGTCATGTGTGCTACACCAGATCATCTGTAAAAATCCCTGAATAGCTAGAACCTGGAGCCAAGCATGCAAGCAGGGACCAGGGGGATGGCCCAGAATGCACATACACTAATGTTTGAAGCCCAAAGTGTAGTAAGAAATCCTTGTGATTTTTTGGGAAAATCAAAATTGATACAAACTAGTCTGCATTCTTCTTTGCTCTCTGCACTTTCCCTTTTCAGGACATGTGGACTTCTTCTTCACATATCCTATCTTGAGTTCTTTAATCTGGAGTTTTGGTGTACCTCTTGATTGATATCTACCCAAATCAAATGGAGAACCTCATTGGTTGTCCTTTTTTGTTTGAAAAAAAAAATCCCAATGTTGAATGTCCATCATTTCAAGCAAATTGATGACTTCTTCACCTTCTTCCCATTCTTCTCTGGCTATGGCTTTTAATGGGCCTCCAATCCTTTTTTTTTCAGAAAAAAATGTTGTAAATTTCAATCATCTCACCAACCCGGCGGAGCCTGGAGGACGGAGTGAAAATTTGAAATTGAGACCCCAAGCCCCAAAATCACAGCCGGACCCCCTTTTTGTGATATTCTGGAACTTTGGCCGAAGGCCGGTTGACCACCCGAGTGCATAAAAATTCATCAACAAATGGCGAGCCTAACTAGGCCTCCATGGCGGGAGCGGGAGCGAGCAGCGGAGCTGTCCACGCCAGTGGAGGCCTAAGACAGATGCGGCAATCCCCGCGTGCTGAGTTTTCAAAATTAGGCTTGAAACCCAGTTTTCTGTGCATTTTTCTGCCTATGCTCTTCTTCTTCCACTGTTATCTAGTTTACTTGTGGCCCAAGGAGGGTCTGCTTCTTGTACATTCTTCCCTCTGCTCACATTCTGGTGTCATGTTGTGAGTTTTGATGTAGTTATTTTTGAAAATGACAACTTTTCAACTGAAGTCGAGCTTTTTTGGCGTGTGCGAGTTCATCAAACCGCTTATGTCAGCGTAAAAGAAAGCTCAAATGCTGATTTGATAAAATCATTATTAATTGTTTTTGTGATTCTAAAACTTTGAAATTTTGCCTGATCAATAAGATCAGGCAGGTTTTTAATAATCCGAGACCAAACATCAAAAAAGTTTTGAGGGAGCGTCAGGATTTCAAATCTTGTGACGCTCCCACCAAAACAATCCAAACTCAGCACCTGAGTTGGTCGACCTCTGGCCCAAGTCTCCCCTGCGGGGAGTTCCCTTCGGGAACCGCCTGGCCAGCGCTACGCTGCCAGATGCGCCCCCGGGCCCCCGCAGCCAGAGACTTGTGTCAAGTTCGAACAAATGGCTGATTCGGAAAGAAGTTTGATTGGTCGGTGATCGAGCCTTCTTGAAACCCTACATGAAGCAAACAACTGACTCTTCAAAAAAAAAAAAAAACCTCTTGAACAGCTTCGGTCACTCGGGTGTTGCTTGGGCTGTCAAACAAGTATGAACGTGCGGCAGATCAGGCGGTGTACGAATGGGAGGATGAGGAAAGAGAGCCGACGGAGGATGACCAGAACAAGAAGATGGAAGTGTTCGACAAGCTCCACTCCAGCCTCCTGCCATCCGTCAACCGCCATCTCAGTTGCCTCGTAACTTCACTCGACCTGAAATACTATCCTAGAAGTCATCCTTCTCCAAACCTCGGATCAACCTTAGAGACCTTGTCAAGTTTGGAGCGCACCTTGGATCAAATTCTCGTCGACTTTGCTGTCCTCAAGACACCTCTACCAACTGTGCCCCACGACCATCCCCAGGATCGGTACAAACGCTTCAGATCTGATGAACTGATCACCAACGTCTCCAGTTTAATACAACGATCCATCTGTTCGATATTGTTCACTGGCATTAGCTTCATCCTACTATATGAGCCCTCAATTGATCAGCCAAAAACAGCCACATTCCGAACAAACACATCCCAATGGGCAGAAACTGTGCTTCAGGAAATAACTCAATCAACTGGCTTGGTCGATAAGATCCTCCGATTCTCTCAAACATCTGACTTGGAGATCCTTCAAGAACGGTGGCAAGAAACAGCCGAAACATTCGATTGCATGCTCGCCGATTTCGCCCACCTAACTCATTCCGCACTTGGGGAACAAAGGCCCCTAAGTGCTGTTAGAACGGATCTGCTCAAACAGGCTGACTCGCAAATCACGCGCATCAAATTACTAAGAACATTATTCGACAAAGTATCCAACGCGACCACCCGAAGATCGATGTTCAGATTAGATCCTGAAATCGATCCGGAGTCCTTATGCCTGATCCACAGAGATTCAGAGGGGATCAATTCTGCCCTCCTTCTTGCTAAATACTCCTTAGTCCAACATTTTAAGGACGATGAACCGAATGGAGACCGAGCTCAGCGACAGAATGGAATAAGCAAGACCTCACGACGCATCGACTCGATGTTATTCCTCATCGGTCTATATCTCGTCCCTCAGCCCTCAGCAATCGACCATTCCTCACCCGCAGCCGACTTCAAGGCTTGGCTTGTTATGTGGCAACAGCTTTGGCACACCGAGGTCGCTCAACTTTGATCTTAGATATGGCCAGCAAATACGTTGAATGCGAGCAGTAAAAAAAACCCCCCGGGGCTCATCTATGAACATGAGCCATAACCAATAATCGCATTGCCACCCCATGTTGTATAATCCCACATTACCCAAGATTTGTGTTCTGCTGTTTTGTCTATCGCCGTCATTCACAATACCACTGAATCTAGGAGTTTTTCAGCAGAGAGACAGAGAGAGAGACAGATATACCAGATAGCTTACCTTACAAAACACCCAAATCCAGACACAAATGTAAAGGCAATCACTTTGGATTATTGGGCTGGAGGTTGATCAGAGGGTGGGAAGCTACATTGCAGATCAGATCCTAACATACAAGACTGGAGATTGACGATGGGAAGCTCTGTACATTGCAGATCAGATACTAAAAAGAGGAAATGTAGAAGGATGGAAGGAGGTGGATATGAAGGCATGTAAAGAGGAAACAGTCCCAATCACATGAGCCATGGCTCAATTAGACTCGGAGTTTTCACATGGGGCATTGGTGAGAGTTGAATCATCCTTCATGGGCCAATAATTGGATCTGATATATGGAGACAAATTTCATGGTTTTTATACCCCATGAATACTTATTGGGCCTATTGCAAAATGGCCAGTGCAAAACTTAACCTGTTTTTTTTTTATCTTTCTTTCTTATTTGAACTTCATGATCCAGTTCCAATATAAAATCACTTCTCACATTTATATGGTGTATCAAGCCACGCTGGGCACATGCCCAAGTTGGGCAAAAAACAAGCCAAGCCTGCTTGGCCGATCCTCAAGCGCGCGTGGCACACCCTAAAGCCATCTTGGCACCCTCCCAACCCCCGCTTGGCACATGCCAAAGTTGGCGGGGGTCGGGAGAAAGCCTTGCTTGGCCGAGCCCAAGCGAGGGTGCCACCTGCGCCAAAACCAACTCACCACCTCGATCCTCAACCCTCACTTCTCACTCCTCTCTTCCTATGACTCATTGCGGGGGGGGGGTTATTATTGTTTTAAAAACTTGAAGCTATACATAGCATTGGTGTGTTGGACAAGATGAGGAGGTGATGGTGTGTCGGACAAGATGAGGAGGTGAGATCGGGGTTGTGTCGATGATCTTATCGGCCCAGCGCTTGGGGTCGGCCAAGCGGGACTTGGCTGTGTGTCAAGATCCAAGCCCCGAGCGAGTTGCCCAATCAAGCCCCCTGGGCACACTCCCAGGCCCCCGTGGCGCTCGGCCAAGTGGGACTTGGGATTGTGCCCAGCATGGCTTGATACACCATATATAAACAGTTCAAGTTCAACTTTGTTTTTCCTAGAAGATTTTTTTTTTCTTCTTGCAATTTGTTCATTTTCTGCTTTAAACAAAACAAAGGAAAAAAACCTCAATCAACAAGAAATGAGCAACAACAAAAAGGAAGTTTCTACATTGTAGACACATAGAATATTTTCGTTGGTTCACAATGATTCTTTTATAACAATCCAGTCCACACACAAGCCCACCCCACCAACATAATCCCAAACACAATAGACTGATCACAGAACATCAAAAACCAAGAAACAAACACGGTAAGAGATGTCCAATCTTTTTGTTTGCTATGTATATCCGTCAAGGTAACTTGCTCTTTATCTATCTATCCGCAAAACATACATACACATGCACCCCCACCCCCACACACAGACTCCCACACATATATGTATGTATATATTCAAAAAAAAAAAAAAAAAAGATAGATGGAGACAGAGCCTAGGAAACCAAACAAATAAAGGCAATGATGTATGTACATATGAAGATAGATAGTCCCCCACTTAGATCAAAAAAAGAAGAAGAAAAGAAACAATAACAACTGACTGGCCAAGAACATGAATGAGAGGAAAGAGAGGATCATCACAACTCAACTCAAGAATTGAGTACATTTCACTTTCTTTTTTTTTTCAAATTTGATCGATTTTGGTGTGATTTTTTTATATTGTATTTGATTTTTTTGGGGTGGTAAGAGATATGAATTTAATTTGAGTTGACATCAACAGGATGGGTGATAGCGTCAATGGATAACTGGGAGTGAGTATGAGGGGTGTTGTTATTCGATTGCGAGGGAGTGAGCGTAGAGGCATGAGAGTGAGAAGAGGGATGATGGTCCGGGCGAGAGGGCGTAGAATGGGGAGCCTGATGAGAGGATAAGTTGGAGGATCCATTAGTAGACTGGCCGGTTCCACAGGGCGAGTGTGCTGATTGCGGCCGTGGAGTATTGAGCCCTTGGTTTGGCTTCGGACCGGGTGTTAAGGCTTGCTGATGAAGCTGGGACAGATGTTGGGCTTGAGCTTGAGCTTGAGCTTGAGCTTGGGCTTGGGCTTGGGCTTGAGCTTGAGCTTGAGCTTGAGCTTGGTTTTGAGTTGAAGGATGAGAATGAAGGAGCTGAGACTGGGAGGGAGGGTGTGATTGTGAATGGGTGAGAGGCTGTGATTGAGGTCGAGGGTTGGATGGGTGCGGGTGCGGGTGCGGATGCGGATGATGGTGCTGGTGAGGATGAGGCGACGCAGATGTGGGGGGATGTTGGGAGAGGGAGTTCTGCGGCGGTGAATGGGCATTTGATAACGGATGTGAAGTGGCCATTGGATGGGCTTGCGAAGATGTCGGATGGCCTATAGCTTGTGAGTGAATCCGAGAAGCCGAAAGGAGTGGGCTTTGTAGATGAGAGTAACCGTTGAACGGGCTCCCTCCTGTTCCTGTTGCTCCGGCGGCAGCAGTACTATTAGGATTACCGACTTCATTTTTTAATGCTCGTGCCATCCTGGCCAGCATGTGCGGGACCTCTTTCCACTCCGGCTCTCGCCTGAGCATACTAAACCTTCCGATTTCTTCCAGAGCTTCCAAGACTTGAGGTACACTCCATACTTCACCCTTCCTGGCGGCTAGTTCTTCGTTTGTCTTTTGTAAGCCGGCTTGATTATTCGGTATATAGGGCAGAGTTCCGGCGTTCAAGTGGGTAGGATTGTGGGCATGCATGGTATGGCTGTGGTGTAGCATGAGGTTGGGATGCGATGAATGCTGAAAGTGTTGCAGATGATGGTTGAACATTGGATGCTGAGGGTTGTCGATTAAATTGGGATTATTATGGTTAATCTGTTGAGGAGTCCGATTCGGAGCAGCTTGAGAACGGCTGTGGCCATTGATCGGGGCAAGGTTCGCGGGGACTGGGATACTAGGCTTTTCATCCTTCGGTTCTTCGATTGGTTCTTCGTCATCTCGGCTAGCGTCCTCATTGCGAACAAACGAAATGATCTCTGGATCCGTATATTTTTGCAAGGTGACCACTCTTTCAAATGGCGGGTCGGTATATTCTTCAATCGGAATTCGATTGTTTGTATTCAGCAAACTTAGTTCCACCAGGGTATCGATTACCTTTGAAAGATCCGATTCTGCCTGTCCGACACCTTTGTCGCGAGGAGGAGCTGCGACAAAGCTGTTAAACCCGGCTGGGGAATCTTGTGTTAGAAGCGGGTGACGCCAGCAGCTGACAATACTATCGGCAGGGACGAAATTTGTCCATGCTGCGGTGGCCAGTTGCATGGCTTGGATTTGATCGATTTGATAAATATTTGGACTTTTTGCTTCATATAGACTGATGGCTCTTTCGAGAAAACTATGGGTCGATCAGTCATGATGGGAGGGAGACACAAGTTAGTTAAGGCAGGAATGGGACTTTCTACACGAATAAATATAGCAGGAGGAAACCAGACCCACAGGCGGCGATAATTAGCTTTCCAGACGCGAAAGATGCCTTGATCGAGTGGCTGGAGTAGGGTGGAGATATTGGAGGAGATAAATTCGACGCGTATGTTGGGATAGAGATCTGCCTCGACGATATGACCGGGATTGTTATCGATGATTAAGAGAATTTTACGGTTCTGTTTATTCAATTCCTTTTGCCAGGAGGTCATCCACTTGATGAACACTTCTGCGGTTAAAGAGGCTTTAGGGTTGGCACTGTAGTCGAAACCTAATGAATCGGTGGATTTAAGTTTGAAGGCCTTGTGACTGAAATTCTTCCCGATGATCCACGGGGCTCGTCGTTGTGAGCCGTCAGAATTAACGCATAGCCCGAAAGTCAAAAGACGTTGATCGGATCTCCATCTGTCCGGTGGAACACTCCGATCGGGAGGCATGGTATAGTATAAGCTGGTTTCATCCAGAGTCCAAACGTCCTGGGGTGCATAATAAGCTATGGCGCCCTTGATTCGCTGTCTTTCTGCTTCAATGCCAGCTTGCGTAAAGTTCTCAGCCTTGTGAGTTTTGATGGTCCGAGTTCCCTGTCTGGAAATTTTAAGGCTACGATCAGGACGAGTTTTTCTTCAAGAAGCCGGAGAGAACTTACCGATCCAGGAATCGATCGATCCAACACGTCGAAGATTTTGAGAATTCGGCTTGATCCAAACCGAATCCGATGGCGAATTCGAGGGCCTTGATTTTGATGAGGTCACAACCCAATTGGAAGTTTTCAGCGATCGACTGGTTACACCAGACTGAAAGAGCTTTTTCGACATCGGGATGCCTGACGATCCTCAATCGTTTGGTATCGGGGGTGGCCAGTTTCAGGTTTGCCCTGATTTTCTCCTCGTCCTTGAGCCAGTTGGAGATCAAAGGTTGAGTGATCGTCGGCCAGCCGTCGAGCGCAGTGAAGTAGGCGGCCGTCTTGGTCTGTTTTTTACCGTTAGCATGGTGCCAATCGAGGATGAAGATCTTTTGTTCGAGGGTGGCATTGAACTTTCTCTTGACTTGACAGGTGTTATTACAGTTGGCGCCATTACTACCACGTTCGGCCGAAGTGGATGCAACGGGTGGCTGATTATTACCGACTGAGGTGTTTCCGGGTGTTGGTCCTGTTGTAGACGTTCCGGTCGAGCTGGATGGTGGGTTGGTGGGGGTAGATGACTGTGGTTGTTGGGAGAGGTTGATGAGAAGAGGTTGAGTTGCTGGAGAGAGGTTCTGGATGGATGATTGGATTGAGAATGAGTTGTTTGGGTTGGGATTGTTGTTAAGGTTGAGGCCGATGAGTTGGGCATGGTTATTGTTTGCGTTGTTTTTGTGGGATTGTTGGTTTGGATTGAGATGGTGAATTGAGAGTTGTTCCTGTTTAATCTGTTGCTGCTGATGTTGTTGTTGCTGCTGCTGCTGCTGTTGTTGT